TCAATACTAAGAAGCTGCTACAGCTGCAGAGAAATAGGAGACCATCTTCTGGCTAGATTCCTATGTCAGCTGAGTACCAGGACTTGCTCAGTTCTAATTCCATGTGGTGACACCATCTTCCAATCCAGCAGGAGAGGAAGGAACCTCGAGAATTCAGGACAAAAGCAATCATCTACATGTTTGGATCACACTAAAAACAAGCAGTGGTAATAATATTTCACTTGTTTTCAAGTTTACCTCTAAGACAATACATCTTATATTAATTTACAGCTGGAAATCACAATCTGTATTATTAGATTTCAGAATAGCCAAAAAGATTGGCCAGAAATGTCAATCATGACGTAAAGATATGAAATATTGGGAATGGGTGTGAGGGTGGGTGGAAAAGAAATATAAAAGTGAGTAGACATTATCAAAAGATAGAAGAGAGTTTACTGGTACCTTATCTCATAAATCACAACATAGCCTACATGGGGCACCCCTTGAGGAGCACCCGGAGCACCCGGAGGCTCCAACTGGTGCAGAATGCGCGGGGGATTATGGGAGCGAATGGGGTGCTCCCATGTGACACCTCTCCTGCGTGAGCTGCATTGGTTTCCAGTGGTCTTCCGGGTGCGCTTCAAGGTGTTGGTTACCACCTTTAAAGCGCTCCATGGCATAGGACCTGGGTATTTGCGGGACCGCCTTCTGCCGCCAATAGCCTCCCACTGACCAGTACGCTCCCACAGAGAGGGACTCCTCAGGGTGCCATCAGCCAGGCAATGTCGGCTGGCAACCCCCAGGGGGAGGGCCTTCTCTGTGGCAGCTCCTGCCCTCTGGAACGATTTGCCCCCGGAGATATGAAGGATATAGGATCTCCCGGTCTTTCGCCGTGCCCTAAAAAACTTTTCTTTTCCATCAAGCAGGGCTGGCGTGAACCCCCCCCTTTTTTTTATCTTTTTAAATTGTCAATGGGTTTTAGTTTGAATGTTTTAAATTCTGGGCCAAAGTCATGTAATTTTTTTTTTAAAAAATTAAATTTTGTATTGGTATATGTTTTAGTTCTGGCTGTGCACTGCCCTGAGTCCACTAGGAGAAGGGCGGTATACAAATTGAATAAAATAAATAAATAAATAAATAAATAAATAAATAAATAAATAAATAGCCAAGCTGTCATGAATTTTTACAAGTATTTCAAATAACATAAAGAGATTCTGCCTCAATAAACAGACTACAGATTGAGTCCAACTTTCTGTAGTTACTCCGGACTAGCATTAAAGATACTTTACTGAAATCTGCCCATTTTCTGTTTCCTTGATCTTGCCTAGTTGTGTTGGGCTTGATAAAAAGGACACTTTGCTCTGTTTTTGTGCCATGACAATTAATTTGTCTTACGAGGATTATATACTTGTTTAGCTGTATAAAATAGAAATATGAGGATAATGCTTTAATGTATTCTAAATAGTATCATTATTACCCGTAGATTTTAGGTTTGATATATATAAAAGAGAGCAGCTATTTAGAGACCTTTCTTCCAGTTACACTGAAGATGAAATGATGTGTTAGGGAAAGCATGATATCAGAAGGACAAGAGTGCCTGTCACTTAGTCTGCACTTCAGTTGCTTCACCAACTTTCCCATGGAAATCTCTCTTGAATAGCTGGTACAAATTAACTACAACATAGTTTTGTTGTGTTGTCTTGCATTTTTCCATACATGCTTGCTGGCTGTTTTCTTTCTAAAGTGTTTAGACTCTTTTTGATCAAAGCTTTGCAAATAATAATGGGTGCTACAATTCAAAAATTTTCTTTTTTTCTTTTAGCAAGCATTTTTTTTTTTAAATGGTCGGGGAAACTAAATAGATAGGCTCAGAAGATTAAACAGGTAATGCTGCAAAAGGAAAAAGCAGACAAGGATAAATAGCCAGACAGGAGTAGCTTGAGGAGATGGGCAGAGTAGAAGGAAATGAGTGCTATCTGTGGCCATACTCCACCCTCAAGGAGAGCAATTCCAGATGCTAAATGGCAGCAAAGTCTGTGATAGCATCCACAATATTCATCCACTCGCCTGTATCTGGCAGCTAAATTACATAATTAAATATAGCTATTGTTATTAAATGCTTTGGGATTTTCCAAAACAAATCTCCTACATGAGATTTGCCTTCCTAGAAAGTTACTATTACCTATCTTTCAACTAAGACAACCTAAAGGCAGGAAATGATACTGGTCTATCAAGAATTGTATTGTTACTAATCTGGTTTTTAGGTAGCAAGAGCCTTGTCCTTCTCCATACTATGAGATAGGCTGGAAAAGTTCATTAGATAGGCACTTCTCTAATAATATAGAGTAATAAGGTACAACCTTCCTTATTATAGTCTGCTTTGGGAAATATAACCTCCCATTTATTCTAACTGCCTTTGAAGTTACTGACTGATGAGCTGCTTCTTGATTTTAATGCGAGTTGTTGATTCCATTTTTGCAATTGGGCTTAATTTCTGCATTATTGCTGTTGTTATCCCTTAACTGCTTCATAAATTTTGAAAAACACAATACAAATACAATAAAATCTGCAGTGAGAATTGCATGAATTCCCTGTACGGAATACATCTACACAAAAGCTTATTTTAGTCATCCCTGGACACAGCTGAAGAATGATCAAGTGCAAAAATTATGCCAGTGATCATCTGTGTAATGGTTAAAAATATATTAAATATTAAATGGTAATATTTTACTCTTTTCCTCCCCTTCTCTTATAGGTCCATATGCAATGATTCCTGGTTTTTTGGGGCAGGGGGGGAGGGGGGCCTAAGGAAGGAATTTCAGGCAAAGAATGAGATATCAAGAAAATCACTTTTCATGGAGTAGTAGACATAGACCACAGGACAGAGGCGAAAATTCACAGGGACTGATGTCTCCAGAAGGAAACGTTCCCTCACAGCCCATCTATTTTACAGGCACTTCTGTCAATACCCCAATTGCCCTGATCTCTTGTGCGCCAGTCGTGGCCCTGTACTTCTTACACAAGCCCTCTGCTTTATCTATACCTTCTGCTGGATACTTAATTACAGGCACCTTGTGTATTGAGTGCCAGGCAGAAATCTATTCATCAAGCGCCTCCTGCTGCCAGACCAAGTTATGAGCAGGAAGTGGAAGATCTATGGATTTAATTAAATCTGGCACTATCCATCCTTGCTTACAAGACAGCTGTTCATAATTCAATTTCGGAAGCATCATCTGATGGACATTTGCTGGATGGGGGGGAGGGGCTTTGATACAAGCCTCTTCTCTTTTTGCCCAGGGACCAAAGAAGTGCCTAGAAGCTTCTGATGCTCCTAGAAAGTATTTTATTTATATATATACTGCTCCCGAGAGATATTACACATATACACTTTTGCTTTTATATGAAGCATCAACGTTTCATGTTGTTTTACAGTGCCTTTTTTATTTGTGAAAGACAGTAACTAAATGCCTTTCATAGCTTAAATGCTTGATCCATCTGGTATTATTTTATGGAGCGTATTCACAGCTTCATAAACATGCTGCCAGATTCATAGACAAGAGACCAGCAGTGATTCTAGACATGAGTTGACACAGCTTAATGTGAATTAGACTCAGCTAAAGAGTCTAAGACACATGACATGGCATGGTTAGATATTAGTCCCCGCTGCATATTAGAAAGACGTTATTAAAACCGTTGATTGCCCTCAATCAACATGAAGGTGCAGTTCCTTATCATACCCACTGTGGTTTAATTCCAGCACATTTCTCCTACCCTTCCTGCAGTTTGACAAATATGTGCCTTGGGCTTCTCAGTTTCTGACCTCAGAAATCTTCAATTTAATCCCCACACAGGGAGCAGCAGTCCAACTATTTTGTACTAGGTTCAGAAGATGCAATCAGAAGTATCAAAAAAAAAAATGAAGATTGATTGAAAGCAAGGTTAATTAAATAACTTTAGATAATGTATACCCTTCACATTAATTTTGTCTTACAAAAGGAGAAGTGAAATATCTTTCTATCCCATTTTTGTTTATCCAGTTGTACTAAATGCCGATAAGGGAGTTAGTCCCATCATTTAAAGTTTGTACAAAAGACAACCAAGCACTTTCTCCCTTTCCAGAATGAACTTGTAGAAGGACTTTTCAAAGATGTAGTTTTAGAAGGCTGACTGGAAAAAAAGGCTATAGTGCAAGTTGATAGCTCAGCAGAGAAAGGGAGCCAACATTCTACAGTATTAATAAAAAAGCTGGTAAAGTTTTGAGAAAAATGACTATGAAGGAAAAATTTCAGGAAAAATTTATTCAATTAATTTATCTAGAAGATTTCTATTCTACCTTGAGGCCCTCTCTTGCAATTTACATATTCTATAAAGAGCAGCATTATGAAATAGTAATAAAAACACAGCGGTTACACAATTAAAATGATAAAAGATTGGAGAAAAATAAACTAACAAAATCAAGCAATAATACAAACAGCAAAACAACAAAATTAATCAAACTGACTAACACTTTCAGAAAGTAACAAAATATAATGTAATTTGGAAACACCCCCTCCACAATATTTAATCAACAAATAGGCTTTACATGATGCATAAAAATAATAAATCCAATAAAATTGAAATATGATCCTTAGACTGCTAAACAAAGTTCAGAGTTTTTATGCCTTCTTCTCTTATTGTCTGATGGAAGATCTAGAGGCAAAGCTGCCCCTCTGCCTAAGAAAAGGGAGCTTTTGTATTTTTCTAGGATTTCTTCTATCCTGTGCTGATCAACATTTCTTAACACCAATTATACTGAAAAGATGATCCTCTCACCTATCACAATGATGTTATATGCCACAAAATTGGCATACAAGGGTTCAATACGAGGGGAAAAAAATCAGAATACAAGGTCTTTTAGGCAGTACATACAGTTGGCCCCTCACTTTTTTTTGCATACTGTACTCATTAACCATAAACACTGCAATCCTATTTATTAGTATGCAGGGGGGAATTGGTTTTCTAGGGCTTCAGAGAATCTTTACCTGTATAGAGTGAGATGTAAGGGGAATCAATGACTTCAAACTTGAAGCTGGGAAGGAAAATTCGCCACTGAAAGAAACAGGAGAAGTCCTTCAATTTGCATACATTTATATTCATAAGTAATAAAATTTACCGCTGAAACTACAGATTATATCACACAAGTATAATACATAAAATATAACGCAAACATGATCAGATGTGAATAAAGTTGATTGAACACAATTGTAGCAAATGTAGATATCTATCCAAACGTATAACATTAATGTCGTTAAGAGTCACCAATTTTAAAACTGCAGCTTTCCCAGGGATCTAGTTAATTTATATATTTTTTCAAGCCAACAACAAAATAAGATCGACTACTTAATAACTAATGTTAAGAGAACACACACACACGCACACGCACAAATGTATACATTCCACTTCAGAACCCATGAATGTTTCAATCATCTGACTCAATGTTTGTCTCCATGGTACCATATTATGAATAGGACAGCAGATAATATAATGGCTGCAATTCTTCACTAAAAACAAGTGCAAATTGCTATGCTATTTCAATTTTCCTTCAAGATGCATTGAGGGTATAATTTGAAAATAAAACGTCTCCCTTAATAAAAGATTGATAAGTTTGAGTAAATACTGTGAATAGAATCTATTTTGTTTACATTGAGAAGACCAAACTTGAGCATTGGCATAAATCTACATCTGCAGAGCCAAACATGGATCTTCTTCCTACCCCAAATTTAAGGGTTTTTTTTTTTTTTAGAGAGAAATGATCCAGGCATTGTAAGAAAAGGCAATACTATTCTCTTGGGATGTCTCAGTGCTTTTTGACTGGCAGTCAAATCCTTTATCCTTCTGTTGAATGTATTATTATTTCCTTTCAAAGAATGTAAGCTAAGTGTTTCTATAAATGTACTAAAAACGTAATTGCTTCCCATCTTCTGCCTGTCATATGAACTCATCTTTTGTATTTCAAAATGCAAATATTACATATAGTATTCTAAGTAGCAATGCGAATATTAATATCAGGAAGCGGGTAGGACAGCCATCTATACAATTTTATGGTTTCAATATTATTCATTCACTTTTTTTAAATAAAGCAAATAACAAACAATCGCAAAACTGCTCTGGAGATGAAAATGGTTTCAGAATAACACTGCCTTTAGGGTAAGGGCAGCATCATTTCAACAAAATTTCATCCCCCTCTAGGGAATACCTTAAAATAATATGTATCCGAGAATCCTCTAAATAGAGTTCATACATAAGAAATAGAACATGGATTATTCAAAGAACTGGTATTGAAGGTCACTGATAATATTCCTAGAGCTGGCCTGAGAGCTATTGTCCTGTTTGTGATGCTTCCATTTGAAATATCTGTACACAAAGCAGTTCCAGTTACTTTGAGTTCTCCCTAAAAAAAAAAAATCTATTTCCCTTTCCTGCTCTTATAGGTTCAATATTTCGTGTTGCTATGTTTAATTCTGGGAGGGCACCTTGAGAATAATTGGCAAGCATTTGGACACTGTGGAAAAGTATCAAAAGCATTAATGTGTCTGGGTTTATCTGCTTGTTTTATATATTTGCTTTTAGATAGGGCATGTGCTGTTCATTCGTCAAATTTAACATTGACCCAGGCAAGTCACCTCACAATAGTTTTACAGGCCCAGGTGCTTTTCAGCTCTTGGAGCAGCCAAAGGATGGTATATATGATGTTAAACCAAAGATAATCCCATGGAGCATCTCCTCCATTGCCTGTTCTCTGGGTGTTACACCTCCCAGGATGATCCAAAATCCTTTGAGAAAGACTTCACAGTAGGTATAGGCAATCCCTGGGAGGGAAGAGCATTTATGCTGAGTGGCTATTCTTCCTTTTAATTTAGAAATGGAGCCTCTTTTTTAAAAAGACTAATATTTCACCTTCAGCAGCCTGTGGTGCAGTGAAGCTTTATACAAAAGGAATACAGCTCGACTAAGAGGCAAGGAAATGAGCCTGGGTTTTTTGAGACATTTTATCTTGTGAATAAAAGTGTTGAAGAAATTAGCAGCTGGGAACTCTTTCTCACTCTCTCCATTTTTCCCAGAGAAGACTGCAATTAATTTGAAAGCGGGGGTGGGGGGAACCCTTCCCGATCTCCACTACAAGCGTGAGAAGATGGGACTTATCTCTTTCTCCCTTATTCTTTGTTTTACTATAGACCCAATTAAGGGAGTTAAGGAAAAAAAACCCTTCCTTATGCTTGTCTTATCTGTTAAACATTGATCTGATAAACATGGACAGGTTGTTTTTCAACTCATACCTCCGATAGCTTACGTTAATGAAAATTCAGTTAATATTCTGCCAGAAATGCTTTTGGGGCTACGGCAGTTTTGTACGATATAAATATGTATTCAATGACAATATTTTGAGTCAATAACCCAAAAGCTGGCAGTCAGAGTTATTGCTATTTTTTTTAAAGCTATTTGATTTTCTTAATGGATTGTTGTACCTGATGGGGAAAATAATCTGTAGGGATTTACTTACACCCACTTCCACATGGTCTGATCCACGGTCATCCTGCTTATGGAGGAGCTCAAAGTAGTAGCGCCTGGAGGAAAGGACACTAGGTGGGAAGAGAAAAAAAGGGAAAGAAGTTATAGCCTCAGCTTTACAGGACCTGAAGGAATTCTCTTTAGTAGTACAGACTAGAGACTGAAGAGGTAAGACCTTATAATTTTTTAATAATTTTTTTTTTGACCAAAAAACCCATTAGCTCTTATTTTTCGGGATGTCTTATTTTGTGGCCGCCCGGCCGCCTGCTCCCTCCCACCATCTGCTTGCCCACAGCCAAAACGGCTTACAGGGCTTCCTGGGGTAGAGGCACTTTTCCCCTGGACAGCAGGAAAGGAGGAGGGTCAAGAGAAAGAATGGGGCCTAGATATAAATATTTTGCTTCGTCATTGATCATATATATTCAAAACTTTGCCTATTTGTGGTTCAATTTTTTGTAGGTTGTTGGCTACCCAGTGTCACCATGTGGCGAAATGAGTAGCAAATCAACAAACAAACAAATAATAAAATGCAATCATGACAACTTTGAACATGTCTTCTGTTTTTGCTTGTGCAAATAAAAGTGGACTTTATTCATTCATTCAGAAGTGAAGTTTTGATGCAAACTCTATATGTATTTCCAAATCACATATGCATAACTTGACCATAGCTTTTAAATGTCAAATACAATGCAGTACTGAAGGATCTATGGAAAAACTTCAAGCATTCAGAAAGCTATCTTTGCTATGAAGGAGATGATCCATTGAAGGAATAAAAAGAAGAATTAGAACAAAGGCAAAGAGGATACTGTCAGTAATTCCAGCTATATTAGATGACCGCCCCCAGCTGACACAGGGGAGATAGATGAGCTGCAGCTACAACAGAGATCCTGCCACGGTATCACTGCTGCCTGTCAGTTCTGATTGGTGAGAGCAGAAGACTCCTAAAATCCTCCTTGCTGGCTTGGTGCACTGCATGTTGCTGCTGCTGCCATGGAAACCATATCCATCTTCCATCCAGGGAGCCAGAAGACTGCTTTGAACTAGCTAAGAAACTCAATCAATGCAGTGTGTTATTCATTTTAATAATAATACAAACTCCCCAGAGTTCAATGAAATTTGATAATTTTGTAAGTTAGGGATTCTTAAGCCCTGGGAAGAAAACAAGAAGACTCTCCATGGAAAAACAAGGCCCAGCCTCCCAAAATATAAGATGAAGAGTTACTAACTTTAGCTGAGACTTGCTAACTGAGCTGTGGCACTATCTTTGCAGAAATGATGGACATTTTTCTAATAGCAACAATACTGGGCTACCCAGAACTTGCTTAGAACAGGGGCCTTATAGGTAGCTTACTTCAAAGACCAGAGGAAGCCATGATATAACTGACTTCAAAGAGCTGGCCAAATGTGCCACAATCAATTTAGAGAAGCCATATTTAATCTCTGGTATTTTCATTCCAAATAACAGGGTTCAGATGCTCAGAAAATACTTGGTTGATAGCTCTTTACATTCCTAGTTTACACTTCTTTAGAAAGATTCCACCCCCACAACCCCACCTCCCAAAAACCAACAACCCCAGAAAAACCAAAATGGCCACTTTGCACCATTTCTTTACATCAGCAAGTGTTTGTCTAAATTACAGTATATCATTTGAAAGACAAGTACTTCTGGAAACCTACGGTAGTTCAAACTAGCACTTCTGAAACTTTAGTTGCCTAAGGAAAGTAAATAAGGGTACCAAAAAACTCTGGTCTTGAAAAGATAAATGGGAAGCAGCGGTGGGTTGGCCCCGGTTCAGACCAGTTCTATAGAACCAGTAGAAAAACTGGAGGGAGGCTCCGCCCACCGACCCCGACGTCATCAAAACGCTTCTGCGCATGCACGTGCGCGGGGCCCCATTGCGAACCGGTAGTAAAGGTGAGTAGAACCCACCCCTGATGGGAAGGAATTGATCAACCACTAGTTTATACAGATGCTTAAATAAATTTAAAGTTCCTTTTTCTTATCAGACCAATTCTACAAAAGGGCCTAATGAGTCTTCTTTGAAAAACTGGTTTCCAGTTGAGACTTGAACTCTCTTCTGATATTTTTGTTTTCTAGTCCCTTTGTTTCACTTCCCATAGTGATTCATTAGTTTTTAATTAATTCTCTACCACTCCAAAAGGAACATGAGTTCCCTTTCCAAATAATTATCTATGAAGCAGGGGGATCATCTTAGGTGCAATGAACGGAGGCAGATACTTTTTGACAAGGAGATTCACGGAGAGTGAGAATTCTAGAAAAACACTTAGGGTCCATGGATGAATCATCTTCTCTATGGATGCGCTCCCTTTGTCTATAATTCTTCCTCATTGTTAAATCATACATTCAAGGCCATCTTTCTTTTTATAAATACAGTGCATCATACTGCTTTTTGACTGAAATGCTCTATAGAAAACCTTTTTTAAAATTTTGGTTAAGCTCTGATTTTTCCCCCCCTTTTAAATGCCCTAAATAGCCTGTCTCTGTTGCCAGGTTATCCTTGGATTTTCTGTTTACATCAAGCTTAGATTCTTTGTTCTTATCCTTTTTTCTTTACATGATCACAGGGCTATTCAAGGAAGAAGTAGGTACAAAGGCTTTCCTTTTCAAAGAGCCCCATGCTGTGGTAAGCTTGTTGGGCATTAAACATTAAGAAAAAAGAAGAAGAGAGAGACTTCTGGGTCTTTTCATAAAGTTTAGAAAGTAAATCTCCATCTGCCCTTGGTCTGAGGTGAAGAATTTTCATACAGATTTTTTATTAAAAATTGGAATGACCTGCATCAAATTATATCCCTCACTGTAGGCAATGATGACACTACATTTACCTCTCCTGGTTCATTAATACCCAGTTAAGGTTTTTTAGATAGAAGCTCAGAAGGGCCATAAAATGTAACAGATTTAACAGATATAGCATATGTTATCATCTAAGAAGGAGATGGATCAAAACATAGAATTCAGGATCTAAATGTTGGAGATTGTACCATCTCTTCACACCTATGAACCTTATAATCACTAGAACATAAAAGGAGTGATAGATAAAAGATACAAAGTTACCCCTTTTCTGGCCCATTTTAAGTTAAATAAACATATTTAAGAGACTGGGAAACTTTATGATGCAGTTTAAATTCCAGTGAAAATTTCCTTCCCTATGTTTATCTCAATACACTTAACTCTTACTTGAAATATTGGTGTCTGTTAGCATTCACTGATAGCTGCATTAAGCCTAATCTCAGCATCCAAGGAAAGTATGTTATGAGCACTTTTCCTTTTGAATAGGATTTGTTACTACACAATGACTTATATAGTGCTCTACATATGTTCAGTAGCACATCCTCTAACAAGGATGCTCCTGACAAATTGAAATCCCTAACATAAATCGCACACCTGCTTGAGTGCAAGAACACAAATGTTGTTTAGAACCTGTATACTTCTGTTCCTTTCTTTCTTCTCTTGGAGAGGGTTCTTACATAGTTTGAAAGCATGTCTATGCATTTTAACCAATAAGCAAGCTAGTATATTTTAGGTGATGTATAATAAGAGGTAGGCGTCACATCATGTAACAACCGGTTTGTCCAGAACCGAAAATGTGAGTGCGCATGTGGCATCAAAAACACGATTATATAGGATGGGATAGTGCTGGGGCAGGTGGGCGGGGCCAACTGCTGGTCAGAACTACCAGTTTGCCCGAACCGATCCGAACCGGTAGCAGCCCACCTCTGTGTATAATGCTGATTAAGATTACAAAAATAAAAAATGGAATTACAAAATGGAAGGACTGAAAGGGATCTTAGATATGATCAAGTCCAGCTCCCTATTCAATACAAGGAATCTAATGAAGCATCCCTGACAGGTGACCATCCAGCACCCACTTAAACATCTCCAACAGAGGAGAGTTCACTCTTTGAGACTCTCTGATTTTGAAAAGCTTTTATATCAGCGTCTACCTCCCTGTAATTTAAAACCATAATTGCTTATCCTGGATCAAAAATTGTTCAAACTAAAGGAGACAGAGCTTAGTTTCCTTTATGAAGATATAGTATTTTGGGCAGAAAGGAAGGAAGGAAGGAAGGAAGGAAGGAAGGAAGGAAGGAAGGAAGGAAGGAAGGAAGGAAAAGAAGAGGTAATCCTGGAGTTTTCTCCAAACCAGAAGTTACTGTTTCTAAGATTACAGATCACAGGGTAAACTGCTAGTGAAAGCATGGAATATGCATTTGGTTTTTTAAAAAATAAATAAGGGTAGTGCAATACTTTGAGAACAGTTGCAACCTAAGAGACAAAATAAAGTATATTTCTGGCTAAGACTTGAAGGAAGGAAGTTTATATGATCCAGCAGAGGCACTCAGTGATGGAGCTCAATGAGGCCTGGTAACAAAGTAGCAAAAAAAGCTGTAGATTAGGAAAGTCATGTGATTGTATTTGTTTCATTTTATTTAATGGATTTTAAAAAATATTAATCCACTCACTGGGCCAGATATGATTTATAATAACACCATTCAACACACACACACAAACACTAAAATATGTCCCAAATCAGACACACAGACACTTTTTATAGCATATATGTGTTGTATGTGTGTATGCTGATACATACAAGCACGGCATGTAAACTAGCAATGTCAAGTCCTGCTCATCACAGCTGTACTTCAATTGAACAAGGATAAAAAGCTCCTCTAATTTCCCCTGAGAACTCCTGGAGGTAAACTGACTTCTTGCTATCAAAGCTGGCTAGTCTCCAATCAACTGTTTCATTGAACTGGGTATGGCAAATAAGTCCCAGCAATTGTCACCCCTACTAATAATGCCCACCCTTCCCATCCACTTCTTCTCCATTGGCTTTTAATTAGATTACCACAGTACTTTGTCCAAGCTAATCATCTGCAAGGCAATCTGCAGCAACGTATCAACTCTCTCCCCATCAGTTTGAAAACACTAGCCACAGGAGAAATGTTGTACAGCTCGTGCATATCCCTTAGTCAACCAATGCCAAATGTTCAGAAGTTAGACCCTAAATTCACTAAGCACTTATTGTATACAAAGAGAAAAGATATATATATAAATAAAAAAGTTAGACTCTTCCATTTAAAATCAGTTTCCAGAAAAATGGAAAAAACACTGAACTAAAACATAACAAGCTCTCAAGTAATGGATTGTATCAAATCATTTCCAGGAACAGAAATAAGGAATCATTAATCCTTAAGAGTTATGGTGGCACAGTGGTTACAATGTAGTATCGCAGGCTAACTTTGCCCATTGCCAAGAGCTCGATCCTGATCGGCTCAAGGTTGACTCAGTCTTCCATTCTTTCGAAGTTGGTAAAATGGGGACCCAGATTTTGGGGGGCAATATGCTGACTCTGTAAACCACTTAGAGAGGGCTGTAAAGCACTATGAAGCGCTATATAAGTCTAAGTGCTATTGCTATCTCAGCCTCTCCAAGGAGGAGTTCCTAATGATGGGCTATGAGCATGTACAGTACTTAATGCATTTAAACAAAGTATTAAGTATCAGGATATGTCTACCCAAGAATGTTTTCTTGAACATACATTGAAATGGATGAGTAATGATGGAAAGGGTTTAAATTCCTTTGCTAACTTGCTCCTGATTTTGCTTTGTAGTATTCAGAGAAAATCTAACAAAGGCATTTATTTTTTAGCTTTTTCAAGGAAATTCACGAGCAAATACTTTAGTTCATGGGTTGGGGTTAAGCTCTGTTCATTCCTGTTTCTCATGGGATTTGAGAACACCCAAGAACACATACCTGGGATGTTTTCAAGAATGGGACACATGGGAACGGGAAAACAAATTCATTCAAAAAAAAAAAAAAAAAGGTTTGACTGACCCAAATTTCAGAGCAAGAGAGCTTTCCTATTTCTGGTGAAATTTTGGGCAAGGGGTTCAGGGAACTTTAAATCCATAGCTTTTTGGAGTTGAAATAGTGAATTACTCTCAGTCTCACTATGTCTCCAACAGAGAAATTGAGGTAAAATATATATTGGCCTTTGTTTCTTGATCTGCTGAGTGCTTTGATTGTTAACTGACACAAGTACATGCTGTATCTTAATATTCCTCCCTTCATGAATCAGTGTTAGATCATTGAAAGATACACATTTTAAAAATTCCACTGAAGTACCGGCATGATGGTATTGCTGCTGGAAAATTTCCATCATGCCAGTAGTCAGCTTCATCTCAGTTCCTCTATTCTTTAGGCATGTGTTTGTCCATTCATATTCTGTTATCCCATTTGAATGACTGTCCTCATCACTCTCCTCTAGCAACAGAGAAAAGCAATAAGCATTCAGCACACATCTTCATTTTTACTTGGAACGGTTAGTGTCTTGACCCTGGTGATGAAACTCTGAAAGACCCACACCTCACCTCCAGTCTGATGATACAGCATAGGCTCTATGCAGAGAAAAAGGAGACTATGCAAAGAAAAAAAAGAGAGAGAAAGACAAATATATATTGGGGGTGAGGGGAAAATAAAATTAGTGCATAGGCTGTGACTTCCAGAAAAAAAAAAAGCTTGTAACCTTCACAGAAATCTACCTATTTAAATATTACTTTCATGTGCGAAACAATCCCTTACTCACTGCATGGAAAGGACAAAGGAGTTTATATGTGTTAAAAGATCATAAACTCACAATGTCATGAATGGACATTAGGAGGACCCTCCCTGCAAAAACAAAACAAAACAAAACAAAACAAAACACTCACCTATTTTACCTCACATCCCTCCAAGCAACTTGTGAAGTACAATGGGCTGAAAGAAAGTGACTTCCCCAAAGACAATAGTGAATTTCCATGGCTGAGGATCAATTTGAATCTTAAATTCTACTGTCTGCCTCACACTGGGTTACAACTGCAGCCATTTTACCATATGTGAAAATAATGTATTGGCAGGAGATATGATACCTCTGCCATGAGAAGAACCAGAAAATAAGTTCTGTGTCCAGAAAAGAGAACTAGAACTAATGACTGAAGATTCCAAAAAGATGTCTATTAAACATTAGGAGAAGCTTCCTAAAGTTAACAGCTGTTTTATAGTAGAAAAGACTGCCTTGGGCAGTTACAGATTTCCTTCACAGGATGCACTGTATTGAAATAGAGAAAAGGTAGTTATTTCCAAGAGATTCTGCAGCTCCAGTATTGAAAATTCTGTACGAATCAGAATAGATACCTTCTAAGGACACCCACTTACTCAAATGGCCTGTGTTTTTCTGTTGACAGGATACAAAACATTTTTGTGTATAAGGGAAACACCTCTTCAGCAAAATGCCAAAAGAGGTCCAGCTTGACAATGAACTGATGGAGCAAAAGAAGACGCGGTCATAAGAGAGTTGCCAGCTTCACTGAAAGAAGAATAAAAACAATGGGAATGAAGCTGTCAGACTTTTAATTTGACAGAAAGTAGCTTAACTTCAAAGTGACTGGCCTCAGTGTAAAACAGGGAGAGAGGATAAGACAGTAAAGGAAACAAAGATACAGAACAAATAGTAAGAAAAGGGAAAAGGCTAATGGAAAAGTATGTTTAATTGCCATTTTAAGCAGCTTTGAGAGACAACTTGTGTTTGCACAGCCTAAAATGAGGATGAGCAGTTTACGGTTCAATGTTTGTTGAAATTTAGGTACAATCTTAGCACACCATGTAAGCAAGACTATCATGTTAAGTTGTGGTGTGATTTATTTGATTGGAACTACAATGTTATGAGAACATAGCAAATTGCTTTGTGAACTTGGATTAAAACTGGCCTTGGGTCAAGAAAGTTGGGTCTAAAGCTAACCATCTATAGCCAGTGAAATCAACTGACATAACTCAATTTTCAGAAAATTAAATAATAATAAGTCACAAAATAAAAAGACCTGCAAATAGAATGACTATAGCAAAATAAAGCAAAGATAGTATCAATAGTGATAGGCGTCTTGGGTGCAATCCTAAAACATCTGGAGCACCACTTAAACATCATCAGCATTTAAACACCATCAAAAATGCCAAATCCAGTCTAAACATCTGGCTGACTGTGTGACTAACAACAACAACAACAACAACAACAACAATAATAATAATATAAAAATAGCACTTTAGTTGTTTTCTGTTAGCAAAACAAACAACAGAAACCAGGTCAGTTGCTACTCTGCTTTCAGCTGGCAATTGACAATTATCAGCAAAATAGCACTAGACTGGTTAACTGGCAAGGAAAGAGAAAGATGTGGTTTCATAGCATTAGGTAAGCCCAGTGTTATTACTGAGCAAGCCCTGCTCCATAGTGGGGTCATAACACAGGTATGAAAGGAAAGGGCTTGCCATAACTAATCCCACTTTGCTGCAGACTCTCTGCTTGCCTCGATATATTTTCATAGCTGTTATTCAGCAGCCTGTTTCTTCTAAACCTGTGATGGCGAACCTATGGCACATGTGTCACAGGTGGCACGCATAGCCATATTGGTGGGCATGTGAGCTCAGCTCTGGCCAGCTGATTTTCAGGCCTTCTGGGCCCACCAGAAGTAGGGAAACAGGCTGTTTTCTGCCTCTGGAGGACCTCGGAGGGGGGGAGGCCTGTTTTTCTCTCTCCCCAGGCTCTAGAGCCTTTCTAGGAACCCGGGGAGGGTGAAAATGGCCTTCCCCACCCCACGGAGGCCCTCCGGAGGCCAGAAACGGTCCGTTTGCCAACTTCCGGTGGGACCAGAAGGCCCGTTTTCTGCTCTCCCCAGGTTCCAGTCTTTCTAAGACCCTGGGGAGGGCAAAAACGGCCTTCCTCATACACCCCTGGAGACTGAAAATGGCAAAAAGGTTAGCCATCACTGTTCTAAACAGTCAACCATCCTTAATACCCAATATGTTACTTCTAAATGTGGAATCACATGATGCATGACCACCTGATATTTGTGAATTCGTAAGCTTTTTGAAAAAAGCAAGTTCACCCCCACTTCAACCACACTTCCAATGTGGAGGTCATTATTCTACCTGGTCAGGCAAGAAGTTCAGAGCAACTCTTTTTGGGCAGAGGCTTCAACTGGCTAGTTCTGTCCATCTCATGGATCTAGTTCAATACAGAAGCTGAGTGGGGGCAGATTACACCGACTCCAATATAATATACTGAAATACACACGAAGTCTTTCTTCAATATGCTCTTTGCATGACTTGTTGGGAACAGTCCTTTGGACAGACTCCTTAGAGCCTCTAAGCATCAGTTCCTAGAGGCTTGAGTAGGGGATTGTGAGAAAATTGGGAAATTCAGAAGAGTGGTTGAAGAAAGAGATCAAGACTCTCTGCTGGGTTGAATCTGTTCTGGAGATTCCAATGCTCCCCATAGAAAATCTTCTCATCGGCAACAGGAACTGAAACACAGTGCTTTGTGGCTGGCCTAGGACTTACAGTATCAATTCAAAAGTTCAACTTACCTCCGTTAAATGATTTCAGATTGAGCCCATGGATTATGCACTCTTGAGGCTACAGTAATCTCTACTTCCACAGATTTTAGTGGAGAGAATGAAAGCAAAAACAAACCAGCCTGAAGAAAAATGAAAAGCCATTCTTCCACTTCATGACTTGGCTGCTTTCCTTTGTCAGTTTCGAAAGAAGTGAATTATTCTTCCTTTAATTCTTAGGATCAGTCTATCCGTCAAAATGAAAAATGGAAGGACATGGCGGAAGCACCTACCGGATTGGCTTCGAGACTTGAGAGCTAAATTTTGTGAATTCTCCTGGAGCAGTCCACTCAGAGCCCAGCTAAGGAGGTGAAAAAAAGAAAAAAGAAATGAAGATATTGTTTCATTTTTTTGCAGAAATAAAAAGTGTGGATGTTTCCTAATAACCTCATTAGTGACAACTGACATTTTCTGCTTAAAAAAGCAGCTACTCTGAGAAATTTGTTATTATTGTCTTCTTCCAGTATTTTATTTTATTTTATTTTACTTTCCAATCTCACCTACTGAGATCTTTTGATACCCTCCTATTCAAGCACTAATCTAATTCAGCCAGGCTTGGCTTTTGCAAATAGGCAAGACTGAAAAGGATTGATCAAACAAGAACAGCTTGCAACTGGTCACTTCTGTGATAATGCAAAAATGGTAAGCTTGTCCCATGATAGGGCCTCCAATCTCTATAATAGTGTGAGTCAGTTTGGTGTAGTGGTTGAGCAGGTGGTCAAGAAATCAGGAGATTGTGAGTTCTAATCCTACTTTAGGCATGAAAGCCAGCTGGATGATTTTGGGCTAATCACTCTCTCTCAACCTAACTCATCAAAGAGGATTGCTGTTGGGGAAAAAATAGGAGTAGGCAGGAGTATTAGGTATGCTCCCTGACTTGAGTTATATAGAAAGTAATAAAAGCTGGATAAAAAACCCTAAAAAATAAATAATGCCTGAGATAAAAGTAGTTGTAACTTTACAACTACTTAAAAGCTACAACTTTTTCCTCTTCTAAAGGCGCTGTCCCAGTTTCACCCCACAAATTATTTTTTTTAAAAAATTCACATGTGTCTTTGTTAGCATTCCCATCTCTGCTGCCTAGAGATGGAATCATAGAAGATGGAACAGTATGGAAATTACAAGAAAATCAATGCTCCAGCCTGCAGCCTATCCCTCCCAATCTCATTTTCCCCTCTTTGTATTTGCATTTATGGGGAGGGAATAAAAATTGTAGCTTTGTGAAAGTAACAACAAATCTGCTTTTCCAATTATTTTTAAAGAAAGTAGGGAGGGGGGTGACAGGGCAGTACAGCATGTTGGCTTCGGGAGAGGAAATTTTCAAGGGGGTGGGAGGCAGAGCAATGGAACACCCAGAGGAAAAGCTATGAAACTGCCTTTGAAGCATTTGTTATGAGGTAACAATTAAGCTGCAAATTAATAATCTCAGCTGGCGATAGCTTCAGAAGGTTCCACAGTGTTCTCATAACACAGGGATGTGGCATTGATCCTAGGTCTGGGTATTCCTTATATGTGAAAGGGGGCATAAATGTGTAAGTTTTGACCCTGGCCTTTGAGCATCCATTACAAATACACATTGAGGGAACTACAGTACGGCTGTTCTGGGACTTGGCCATGCAAGTTTAAAATACGACCATAAAGGAAGATTTAATTTTGTGTTGCTTTAATTTGTTAACAGAATGCCAAAAGCAGAGATTATAAATCTGTTTGGTACACCCTGGGGATTTCAAAACTTCCCAGTGTTTGAGAGACAGTCTTTGAAATATAAGTGAGATAAGCAATAAAAACACATGTTCAGAAGAAGGGAAAACAGAAATGAAATCTGATCAATTTCATATGAAAACTTCTCTGTCTTGAAAGAGTGTTCCTAGCGATTGTCTTCTTCCTAATGTTTTTAGAACCAAGCTATTAATCATACATACAGTATTTGTATGTGTTTTTCTCCCAAGAGTTCTCTTTCTTTTTTGCTCTTTACTGACAAGCAAATTCAGAGGCTTTAATTCAGGGCTGAAAAAAAATGGTGCAGGAAGTGTAGTTTAACCCTTTCACATCTTTTTCTGGCACAAAAACATTTTGCTCACATTGCTATTAAAAAAAACCCCAGTCCTTCCTGGCTTCTTGAAACAATTGTGAAAGTAACTAAGAATTTTTGCAAATTCCTCTATTCCTCTCATACCCTTGGTTGGAATAAGGAATCCTAGAGAAGTATCGTAACTCCAAGCATAGGAAACTTTTGCCTGAAGTCATTTCTTTGCTTGGATCTGCCTAGCCCTAGCTGGTGTTGTCCAGATGTGTCTTTGATCTTGCTGGCTGCAAGTTGGAGAGATACAATTCCTGAAGGCATTAGACCAGGAGTGGCTAGACTAAAGCAGCCAGGTATAATAGTTCTGGTAAGTATGGGATAAAGTACGAACACCATTCTCATTGTGTGTGAGAATTCTGTTCAAATAAAAGACAATGTGCATTTCCATCTTTAATACCTGCTATCTCATATAGCAGGTATTACCAAATTCTCTAACTGCTCAAAATATACCCTTTAGGTTTTCAGATTAAAAAAAAAATCCTATTCATGAGAAGCCAGATTAAGGGCAGAGTCAGATAACTCTGGATTTATTTCACAGATCCAACCTTTTCTTTGAAATCTTTTGCTGATTCCATATAAGGTATAACATGCCATTAGTATTTAACGTATAAGCACACCAGTAATATTGAATGAGCAGTCCTTGAGGCCTCTATCATAACTTTGCTGCTTCTGTCAAAGATACAGATTTTGCTGAACAGCAAAACAGCGCTACGATTGTAGAAATCAAAATAGCCTAAGGAGTTGCATTAATTCTCTCTCTGTCCATTACATTTGTCGGTAAATGCACAGGAATGCACTTTTCTCAGATTCAGAAAAATCTACAAAGAATTTTTACAGACAGCATGGGGGCAGAAGCACTTATTTAGCTGTTTTCAAACATTTTAAAGCTGAATAGCTGAGCTAAAACTCACAAACGTTGAAGATTTCTCTGCTGAAGTTATTTTGTACATTGTTTATGCTTCTTATGCTACTTTTCTCCCAAAACAGCAAAGTGTTCACAGTATGAATCGATTTTAATAGGATGCCCACTGCTTGGGCCACATGAAGAGATAGATTTCACAAAAGGTTATGGGTTGTCTATTACAGGAAAAAGAGGAAGCACAATTTGGTGCAGATTTCCATTTGTTCCCAGGTATTCACCCTTGAACCTGAAGGTTAGACTTCTGGGTGTCTTAGTAAATATCAAGTTTGTTCATAACAAGACCGCTTTCATTCATGACCTGGTAGCACATGAATGGGCAGACTCAGCATGCATCACTAAAACCTGATCAGGTGAAGAAGGCAATATAGTTCTGCTAGATATATGCCCTCCTAGATTTCATGTCCTTCAACAGCCACTGATGATGACACCCAGTTGCATAAATTCATCCTACGCCAGATCAGAGGTGCTAGAGAAGTCTTTGCTTCATGCTGTAAAGGACTTCATAGCTCAGACTGAATCCTCCTTTATTTCTGATCCTTTAAGAGATCTGAGGAGGTTACACTCCCCTTTGAAGAGGAAGATCTGTGATGTAGGCAATTTCCTGAAAACCTTCAGGTCCTACTAGAACAAGAGATAGACACCAGGATCAGAGGCATTCTTATCCATCTTAAATTGGTGTGCAATCTGCAGTCTTTCCTGGGTAAAGAAACCTTACTATATGATCACACCCAACAATTAAATTGACTATAATCTGGGAGTTATCTCTATCTGTAAAATTCAATTGGTAAAAATGCAGTTGCCTGGTTAGTGAGAATTGTAATATGATGTTGTGGTTACTGTTAGTTTTCCAGAGCCAATCCAATTTCCCCCCCTTAATCTGTAATGCCCTTTGTGACTTGGTTTTAAGTTATTTGAGGACCTGTCTCTCCTAATTTGATGCTCCCCAACCTATACATGCATGCAGGGAAGGGATGCTGAGGGCACAGACCCAGAAGCTGTCTTCTGGTGGCCGTAATGCTATGGAATAATTTAACTTCAAAGATCTAATTCAGATTTCCCTCCAATCTGCCAGAATTGTTTTGTTTAATCACCTTTTACAAAATAATGTGTGCTTTAGTAAACTTTTTTTTTTTTTTGGTGACACTGGGCTCCTGCTTTATTTTTATTTGATTGGTGCTTTGGGTTTTGATGGTTTGGTCTAGCAGTTGGACAGAGTAATTGTTTGGGATTTTAGATGATGCTTTTATGATAGTTAATTTGTAAATCATCCAGGATCTGGGAGCTTGGCAGTGCATAAATAAATGTAATAACTAATTAACTAACTCAATAAAGCAAAGCATTTTGCCTGAAATCAATCTGCAAATTTCCTCCTTTATATGGGAAAACATGTCTTATTTCCAGCATTTCTTTACTCTCTAACATAGAGGTAAATAGATTCTCCATACATTGTATGGAAATGAGAACTCTATTTTCACTCTAAATGAACTGAGAGACATAAGCATAAACCTTGTGCTATAGCCATAGACAAGAGACCTACAATGCAAGGCAGTGTTAGTGAAGAAACCAAATGGGCTCAAGCTGTGAACCGCAGGAGCAGAAGGGGGCTTGCATATAAAATATCACTATTGCAACATGTGAGAATTTCAAACAGACCCTCAAACACACACATTTGAATTTTGTACAATACATCCAGGTTTTAATTATGCAGCCTCCAGATGTAAAACTCACAGCTGAGTTGGTTCAAGGTTTATATGTCTCCCAGTGGCAACACTACAGTTTCATTTACATTTAACTCTCTCAGCAAGGAACCAAAGAGATGGTGCCAAATTGTACTGTTTGTAAGAAGGCTGTAAGAAGCACATCAACCCATGGAAAGCTGCTACGACACCTTTATCATCATTTTATTATCAAAAGTTGCCCACCTTGCCCACAAACGCCACCAGACGTATATTGGCTGGGGTCTCATCAGAGCTGAGCCAAAATTCAGAATTATCATCCGAAGCTACAGAAAACTGAAAATCTCCTATAAGACAAGGAAAGAGAATTTAGCTAATAATAAAGTTGAAATTTAAATTTGTTTCCTTTCCTGGCAGGCTACCTACACTGTCATGTGATTTTAAATGTTACTGTCCGATCTCAAAAACCTGGAGTGACAGTGTCTTATTGTTAGGTTTATTTTTAAGAAGGTGGGGGGGGGGGAGAGAGAAAGAAATACTTTATTCAAAAGTCTTATAAACTTTTTGAAGGCATGAAACTTGTGACTTGGGAAGGGCACTAAGGAGCAAAATGTGTTACAATCATTACTTAGATAATCTGGCTTCTTCTGGAGCTGCACAACAATGCCCAGGGTGAGACTGTGGGAGAAAGGCAATAATAGGGGATTTTTTGAATAAAAATATTCTGGCATGAAGCTAGGGGAGAGAAACTCCAGAAAGAAAGCTCTGCCCTTGAAGGAGAAGTTATTGTACTCACCATCTTTGAAGGGATGAATGTAGCCAAAAATACGTAGCCCGTAATTTTTCCACTTGGGTGACACAGCCAACTTTTTTACTGTTGTACGAGTCTAAAAGTTAGAAAGGAAAAAAGAGGCTCTTTGCATGTAACATTCCACTTCACAGTGGGAAAGTGGAATGTTGGACAAATGCTATCCAATTGTATTCACTGTGATAGCACACTGGAAAACAGAATTTATATATATGAGCTTCTCCTATGTATTGTGCAAATTCAAAGCATTACACAAAACATCAGCAGAGTGAGGGAATGCCAATTAAACTTTCTCTCCAGATACAGTAAATAATGTACTTTAGTGTTACTGTCTGCTTTATTATGTGTTGCACTATTGTCTTCATGTTTTCCTCTTCTAAGCTCTTTTACATTGCTGGCCTTTGGCTATAAAATTCATTCACTCATCCAGCAAAGTGACTATTGTAAGAATCTAAAGCCATCATTTATATGAATAAATGAAGTCAAGTGGGAATTTCTATTGTACTGCTGATCTTCCCACACTATTGTATAACTTCCTATATCAGATTCTAATTTTGTGAGAGTTTCCATATTTGGCCACAATCATAGGGACAGGAAGTTGTATAGACTACATTTTTACTCAATTTTTTGTCCTTAGATTGTACTGAACTGCAACTCCATTAATTTCTGGACAGTGCAATCTTTATTTAGGAGAACCTGTAGCCTAGCAAATCATGATGGGGCCTGAGAGAAAAGACTAGCTGTGATAATTCTACTTTTGTACACTTTGATTTTTCTTGCTTTGTTGTATACAAAGAGTCAGAATGATAGGAACAGTTTACAAATGCTGTGAATGAATGAATGAATGAATGAAAAATACTATTACATGAAAGATATTACTGGCATTCACTATCATTCAGATAAAGCCAAATTATATTTAACTAAATGTAAATTCACTTCAGAAGTGCTTAAGAATATTTACTGCATAGAAAAAAGCTATAAAGAACTGGCATCTTTTTGGAGAATAGATTATACTCACATGAGGATATAGGGGGAAATGCAGATTCTTCCTTAGATGTCCCACAGCTCCTCCACACCAGTCTTCAAATACATGCAAGTTTGCTTTCCCTTTGTACTGCAAAATTAAAATGACATCACTTAGGCTATACATAAACTCTCTGGCAGTTTTGTAGTGTATGGTGTATGTATAGGCATGCAGGTGTGTGTATGCAAAAAAATAAGAATAAAAGAACCTGAGTTCTCAAAAATTTTGGATTTTAGCTTGTATCACCCCAAACCAATGTTAAATGGCTATGGGAGTTGTTAAATACAAGATTAGTATGTAAGATATCTTTCTCCTGCCAGGTAAACACCTACGTTATTGATAATATTCATCAGTTAGCAAAAAAGGAAGACTATGAATGTCATTAAACAAAAGAAAATGGATCATCACTCCATATTTTACATGGTAAATATTACCGGGCACTTACTGATGAAAATAATACTGTACATTATGAGAGGTCCTTGGTGCTCTCGGAGTTTGGTTGTTTTCTTGCAGATGTTTCATTACCCAAACTAGGTAATATCCTCAGTGCTAGTAAAGAGTGGGGTTTGCTCCCAGTTTATATTCTAGTGGCCTACCCTGTCAGCATTGGTGGGAGTGATTTTGGAGGTTATTTGGTTGGGTTGTTTAGTGTTAGCTTATTTGGCAGTTCCTTGGCTGAGGTATTGTTACTTCTTGATTGTTGGTCTGAGATTAATCTTGGTGTTAATCTATGCTCATCTGAGTGTTGATTGCTGGTGATGAGGTGCTTGGGTCTTTTCGTTCCCTTTTGGCTTGTTCACTGTCTCTTCTGCAGAGTATGTAGATATTGTTTATATATATTGTATCTACTGATGGCCAATTTGTCAGAGTGTCAGGCTTCCAGAACTTCTCTAGTGTTTTTGGACTTGGCTTGTTCTTGTGTAAGAACTCTATTCAGATAAGACAAACACAGTGCAGCAATCCTGAGCAGCAGAAAAAGGAAACAGATCATCTGTACAACATCTTCCAACAAAATGGATAGACTAATACCAAGATTAACATCAGATCAATGATGTGAACATCAGACCAACAATCAAGAACTAAACAATGCCCCAATCAAGGAACTGCCAAACAGGCTAACAGTAAACAGCTCAACCAAAGGACCTCCAAAATAATTCCCAACAACACTGACAGGGCCAACCACTAGAATATAAATTGAGAGCCATTCCTTACTAGTACTGATGATGTTACCTAGTTTGGGTAATGAAATGTCTGCATGAAAACAACCAAGCTCAGTGAGCACCAAAGACCCCTCATTTCAACCCTGAACAATAAATATTCTCCTTTATCAGTACAATGCATTATGTAGTATAAATCTACTACAAGATCCTCTGCATTGTAGGTAAGTTATAAATATGTTAAATAAAATGTACTTGGGATAAGTATGAGATTCTTTAAGGGATAAATATTAATGTATACCTAAAACAATTAAATTGAAGCCATTTGTTTATCAACAAATAAACAAATGAATAACTGAAAGTTCTGGCTTTAGAAAACCCCTCCCCCTTAACTATAATAAAAGAATGTGGAATGTGAACAGCTGCAGAGTAAACCAAAATGTATTCTCCAGGTAGACCAAATAGAACAACCACTTGCATACTGGGTTGTGATATTAGCCTAAAAATGGGCTGGGTATTTAGACTTTAGAAATCAATAATGTCTTTTTGAAAACTTAGAAGTCTCCAGCTCTGAACAAAGCAGGGGTGAAAACAAATGTAGGTGCTATATTTTCAGACTGCCAGTTGCAACTTGACATATTTGATAAAGTATTAGAGCACATTATGGCCTCTCAACTCTAGACAATAGTGATATGACCTAGACCAATGTTTCTCAACTCTGGCAACTTTTAAGCTGTGTGGACTTCAATTCCAATAATTCCCTGGCCAGCATGCTGGTAGGGAAATTCTGAAGTCCATGCAGCTTAAAGTTGACAAGGTTAAGAAACAATGATCTAGGCTCATTCCAGTCAGTCTTGGTTATGGGAAAACAGATACGATCTTCTCTTATTAGACAAAGAAATATAAAATGAAAACTATTGCTTCCAGAACAATTTATGAAAATCTTTCCTCTCAGTATTGTCTTTTGGTCAATTGCCAAACTATATTATGGTCACGGACAAAAAATTAAACATTAAAATAAAGCAAAACGAACAAGGCATAGTAATTTATTACAACTGATGGTGAAATTATCAGTGGTCTGCCTAATTTTACAGACAGAGTAACAAAACGTAGAAAAACTGGATCATACAATCGTAGTTGTATATAAAAGCGAACAGAATTTCTGGGATATTTAATCAGGCAGGGTGTTATGAGTCCCTACAGAAGGGGCAATACACAGGATATGAGCTGTAGTTTCAATGCCCCCCTAGTCTACAGGGGCACAGACTCAGGTCATATGAAACTTTCTTATATCGGTCCTCCAGAACTGCTGTGGGCAGAATATTATGGCCAAAGTTAATGTCCTCTGAAATTTTAGAGACAGTTATAATGTAAATATCTCACTGTTCAAGAAAATATTCTTGGGTAAAAGTCCTGATATTTAATATTTTGTTTAAATGCATTAAGTTCATGCTCATAGTCCATCATTAGGAACTCCTCCTTGGAGAGGCTGAGATAGCAATAGCACTTAGATTTATATACCTCTTCATAGTGCTTTTACAGCCCTCTCTAAGTGGTTTACAGAGTCAGCATATTGCCCCCAACAATCTGGGTCCTCATTTTACTGACCTCGGAAAGATGGAAGGCTGAGTCAAACTTGAGCCTGGATGTTGGAGTTTTAATAAAATAGTTCTAATCCATGTTGATTTATAATTACTGTACCTTCCATAAGGAAAGGGCTCAGATCTGTGGGGAAGATCATGCACCAGTTTCCACCTTGAACAGCCCTCCCTCCCTCCTTAGAACTGCGTTAGAAACACAGGGGGCTGCCTGCATATAAGGTAAAGGTAAAGGTCCCCCTTGCACATATGTGCTAGTCGTTCCCAACTCTAGGGGGTGGTGCTCATCTCTGTTTCAAAGCTGAAGAGCCAGCGCTGTCCAAAGACATCTCCGTGGTCATGTGGCTGGCATGACTAAACGCCAAAGGTGCACAGAACGCTATTACCTTCCCACCAAAGGTGGTCCCTATTTTTCTACTTGCATTTTTTACGTGCTTTCGAACTGCTAAATTGGCAGAAGTTGAGACAAGTAACAGGCGCACACCCCGTTACGCGGCATTAGGGATTCGAACCGCTGAACTGCCGACCTTTTGATCGACAAGCTCAGCGTCTTAGCCACTGTGCATATTACCTTTTTATAATTCAGACCCACTCAGTTGGTCACAGTCACATGAACAGTAATGGCCTCTTTCTACTGCTGACAGCTACACTTTAACATTATCCAAGCAAATATTGGTACTAAACATAACTGATCATCAAGCCACCTCATTTGTACCATCCAAATATTGTCTTGGCTAAAAAGAGGAAGTCTGTCCAGTTAGAGCAAGATATTTGGCAACTGCTGCATATTTCCCAAGCTGTTTTTATCAACACAGGTCCACTGGAAAAAACAGTTCCAAATCCAACAGATAATTATATTAAACCAAAACATTATACTACAGTAACCTCAAAGTTGCATGGAGATCACCGTTTTATAAGAAGGTCAAGAATTTTCTGTCAGAGAATCTTAACTCACACCGAGCTTCTTATTGCCAGGGTTAAAGACTATGGTGAACATATGTGCTAGTTCTGTCCTTGCGTATCTTCACCCCATGTTTCTCTAATTATTTTGTAATTTCTTTCTAATTTCTTTCTATCCTCTGAGGCTCATTCTGTTAGTTAAGCACTGCCACCAACTTAAGACTTTATTTATTCTTTATTACTATTTGCTTCCCCTATAGTAATTCTGGTTTATAAAATATGATAGCATACTGAAGACACAATAAAAATGTACTTTTATTAATGTCTTGCATTAGCAAGATTATGACAATTTTTCGATGGAAAAGGAACTTATTTATAACTTAATAAGTTTGGGACCACCTAGTTAGCCCATGGAAACCCAATATCTGTTTTAATAGGGGTGTTTCTAGTGTCGTGTGCTGCACAGAGTCTATTGGATTTGGTGGCCAATACATTTAAAATAATAACATCACCAACTACTCATGTAAATTACATAACAGGGAGAAGGTAGCATTATACTTCTTCTCTATCACATCCAGGCATTCTTGAACATGGGGAACTTCACTTGAAGGCACTTTCAAATATATAATATTGATGTGTCTTCTAGAATAATATAGAGCAACTTGAAATAGGGCTCTATCATGGATAAACATGCATGTTATGCACCTTTAAAGTTAGCAGACTTACATGAATGAGATGTGTAGAGAATAGAAAAGTTCCTTTGCTACTCAGAAATACAGATAGTAGGAAAAAAAGAAGAAGCTATTACCTCTAACTAGCACCTGAAAGCATCTGAATGTTATTTGACATACATCTCTGGAAATTACAAGATAGGTACTCTATCATTTTAGTGCAGTTCCATGTAAACTGGATATCCTATTTTTATAGAGGTCCTTTAGGCATGTGATTGTTTAAAATTTATTAACCCTCTTTAGCATATATTAACACATGTTCTAAGCATCTTAGAACAAAATCAACATATAACTTATTCCCTACAAAATCTTTAGACTTTGAAAAGATCCTTAAGATGTCACCAGAGAAATTGTCTATAAATTATAATGTATAAATTTATGTTAAATTTATGTTGGAAATGTGAACAAGAAGAGACATTTTATCATGTTTGATGGATGGGTAAAAAAAGCTAAAAAATTTGGGATTCAAATACACACACTGACTCGGAGGATTTTAAAGATTAATGTACAACTGAAACCAGAGGTTTTTTTCCCCTTTGGGTACTGATGGACAGTTAGAAAAAAAAGTCATGGAACTTTGTTTTCATTTATAATAACTGCAGTGATATTATTGTGCACACAAAGATGAAAAGATTCGGCACTACCCACAATGAGAAATGGCTGATGAAAATGATGGAAGTTGATGAGATGGCTAAATTGATTTTTCTTTTAATCAGAGAAAAGACAGTATCAACATTTATCCCTGACCGGAAAACCCTTTAGACTTTTTGTGTAAGACAGAAAAAAATGAATTTACAACCAGTGGGCAGGTTATAGAAAGAAGAGGGGCATATTGTAACCATAGAGTAAGAAGTATATTTATAATTGTACTTATAACTGCTGTATAGAAGATTGGCAGTCAGTTCTTTGTTTGCCTTTTCTCTCTCTCTTTTGCTTGTTTTTCTTTCTTGCACTTTAAGATTTCTGTTGATTTTTTCTTGCTTTATATTTTTATCTTCCTTTTGAATTTTTAAAAATATATATAAAAAGATTTTGAAAACATCCAATATCCAGTATTTCAGATGTAACAGAAACAATGTAAAATTTTGTATAAAAGACTATGAAAAGATTAAATCAGTTATCTCCTGTTCAAAATGCCAGGTAAAATAAAATGTTGTTTAACAGTTTCTTAAAAATCATAATGAGGTGGTGCCAAACATACTCATACAAAAGAAGTCTATTTACAGAGATGATTCTGCTGAGAAAACATTTTTTTCCTATTTCCTCCTGACACTGAAAAAACTACTACACATAATATGGGTAATATTTGATTCCAAGAGTGTTGGCATCTCCAGCTGAAGGTCAAACCCAGAGGTCGTTGTAGTCAACCCACATCCACCATTCACAATTATGAACTACAGCACAGCAATTCCTGAATCCACAGTCTTGCTGAAAATGGGCCTTTCCCTTTCATAACATCTCTGTTGCAATGATAATCCCATCCAATCAGTGAGTCATAATGTCCTTGCTTCTTGCATTCAACCTTCAGCTGGCACACCTCAGCTGCTGCTCCCTAGGTATCTTTGTAACACTTGAAATAGAGGACTGGCCACAAGCTTCATTAAAGTCATAAGAGCTGAGGGTATTATGGAAACAAAAGAAAAAAAATATGGCTGAGATGGAATATCAAATACATAACCCAACAGAGTATCTTCTCATAAAAGTCAGTGTTTTAGAACTGATGCTTCAATAAATACAACACACATCATGCCATTGTTATTTTGCATGAAGTTAATGTAAGATGCTGATCAGTCTCAAGTGCAAACCTAAGTACTGAATAAAGCAAGTAACTAAATTTATTATCCTTTTTGACACATCCCAGGAGAACAGGATGCTTTATATATATAAAATAAATTAATGCCAAAATCCAAAGATGTGGAGCGCAAGTGCAGGTCAGGAGGGACCTCACATGGGGGTGGGGGACAAGATGGTCCAAAGGGCAGGTGCAATGACAGAGAAAGCCTTTCTCCTGGACCCAGTTAGCTGGAATAATTGGACTGATGGGGCTCACAGCATGCCTCTCTGTCGGCACAAGTGGGATGGGCCAATCCCAGTGGGATGCATTTCTAATAGCTTCTCTGCCTATTTTCCTGTCATAATGGCAGCCAAACAGCATCTGAAATGCCCAGATGGAAGTATCTGTGTTGCAATGAAGAATATTACACCAAATTCTGTAAATAAATCTCAGCTAAAGATTCAGCAGGAGGTGAGCCGGATCAAAGAAGAGGAAACTGAATCAATTAAATCTTATTTATTTGCCTGAACTAATTGTAGAACCTCCCTGGCAGCATTTAAAAACATTGTTTAGCCTCTATGAACATAAACCTTCAGGAAAGGTTCAATTATTGTAAGATCATTTCATAAACAATGATCTCCTCAGCCAAGAATTAGTCTATTCACAGGCTGTTACAGCCTTTTGGCAAGGAACGTAAGCTTGACATCAAATGCTGAAATCCATTATGAAACTTCTATGAAGCATCAGAATAGAAACAGAGCAAATATTCTAATTTTCTTTTACACTTCCCATTAATTTCAGTGGATTGCATCAGGCTGATGCACATAAAACATCAGATGTTTAGGCTGATGTTGGTTTTATGTGATTTTGAAGCTACTGTGGCTTAGTTGTCATTTACAAACCAGGCTGTTCTGGCTGATTTATCAAACCATGATTTGGGTTAGCTCCAACAATTCAATGACCTCAATGTTTCATTTAATAATACCTTCTAAATCAGTGTTTCTCAACCTTGGAAGCTTGAAGATGGGTAGACTTCAACTCCCAGAATCCCCCAGCCAGTGCTGCTGACTGGGGGATTCTGGGAGTTGAAGGCCACCCATCTTCAAGCTACCAAGGTTGAGAAACACTGTTCTAAATGTTCCCCCTGCAAAATCACCAACTCTAAATTACCTTCTCTCCCTCTTGATGGGAATGGTAACTGGCATAGCAGGAATCAAACACAGAATGAAAAAAAGTTAGAATTTAAATTCTGGTGCATATATACAGGCTTTGTGTGCTTATATTGAATAAACATCTATTATACTTAGCCTCATTCTTATCTATAATAAGATATCTACACTAGCCAAGTTGTGCCTGATAGTCTACCAACCAATTCCAGAATAAAGGCTGAGGGCATAGACAAGCTAGATGTACAGTCTCTTTATGTATCATAGCATTTGTATGCCACTAATTCTATGTTGGCCTGTTGGTTTACACAGAATCCAATAAAAATAAATTCCACAACATAGGGTAAATCTTATAGCAATAATGACCCCTTTGTTATCAACATGAGCTGCCAAATGTTCTCCAGAACAATTCCATTTTGAACTATGCTTCTAAAAGCCAGAGGTTCTATCTTTTTGCAATAAAGTATTCCATAGGCATGGAGAACTTGATTGAGGAACATTGTTCCCTTGCTTCCCTATCAAATCTTACATGGGAAGGGCTTTTGGGAAGCCGGCGTTGGATGACTTGACCAAGAACCTATCATATTGGACTTTGAAAATAACAGCCATCGTCTTCAACTATATCAGAAGTGTACTGGCAACCAATGCATTCCCTGTAGTTGTTCTGGGCCAAAGTATCACTTACCTCCTCGTTCCAAGGCAGAACATGGCTTGTTACATTTGGTTTTGAGACTCTTCCAGTTCTGTCGTGACTATATCTTTTAGAAAACCACCCATGAACTCCTTGATCTTCTACCTGTAATTTTAAAAAAAGGGAAATGTAAAAAAAAAAAAAAAATTAAGTAGGATATCATTTGTAAAAGACCAAAGAAACATATTTTTGGAATTATGCCTGATAATTCCAAAAGATACCAGTGCCAAATACAAAAGTTTTGAGAAAATTGGTTGATAATAATAGAATGCAAGTGTTGAATGAGATACTCTTGTCCCGGCCTGTAAAATTGGTGACCCACGGGGCAGATGCCTCACACGAGGCCACACCCACCCCAGCTCCAGAAAGGCAAAAAAGTCACAATATGTCACATGACACAATCAAGTTTGATACCCGTACTCTAGACCACCTTCCTGTGTACAGGAAACTATCACTACAGCCGATATAGAAAGAGTGCAACAGAGGAGGAAAATCTTCTAGGTCTATTTAGATACACAGTCTATCACTTCTGAGACATCCAGATTAGACACATCAGCAGGAAATGACTCAAACCTGCCCAATCAGCTTATGTCAACCATCCTTCCTTATAAAGAGACAAATTACTTAGGCAATTAGGGTATTCAAAGAAGGGAACAAAAGCCTTAGCTTGTGATCAATAACACCTTGTCAAATTCCTCTTCTGGCAGAATTAATTCTCAACCAGCTGCCACCGATGAAGGAGGAAAGGGAAAACATCCCAAGATTAGCTGTGTCACACAGCTGGCCTTCCGTCCAGTAGCAAAGGTTTTTGTTTTTGTTTGAAATGCCTGTACCAGCTAAAGATGGAGGCAGGTGGCTGCTTTCTGCAGGATTGGGACTTTTACACCTGGCCTCTAATTCACTAGCTTCTTCCTTATGAGGAAACTGTAGCTGTCACTGAGGCAATCAGTGCAATGGTTAGAAGGATGTAAAGGTGAGCTGTGGCTCTTGGAAGCACTTGCTCCCATCGGTGGCTCTGATCTCATTCATGAGCATCTATCATAAAAAGGATTGGCTGTCTGAAATGACAACAGATATTCTATCTGTCTGGCAAACACACAGAAAGATGTGGGCTCCTATTGTTCACAGGAACTGCCACAGATCTCCGAAAGAGAATGGAGCTGTTTGCAGAACTGAACTACATCATAATAGAAAATAGTCTTCTATAGGTGGTGTTTTCTCCAGGTAGGAATACTAGGAAGTAGTCTAACATGTTGAGAAGGTATTAGGATATGAAAGACTACCTTAGAAAAAGTAAAGTTGAAATGGACAAAAACTATGCTGTAATAAGAACTCTGCAGCCACATAAGTTGAATAAACAAACTTTTTTAAACAAACTACTCAGATTGTGCAAATATACAGTATGACTTTGAAGTCCTTTAGATTGCATCTAAGATTAATCTTAGATTGCATTTGAAGATGAGTTTAACTCCCAGGTGAAGCCACTGTGCATGGACAGAACTACTTCAACTACTTGTTGTACAAGGCACCTTCCAGCAGACATCAGCAATAAGAAGACTGCTGTGACCTTTGTTTCTCAGCAAGACTCCTAGCTGGACAACCGGAATTTTCCCTCAAACATTGCTCTGTATTTTCCAGCCCCATCTCAGGTGTGTTCAAACCTCACAAGTTAAATCTTCACAGATGAAGAGATTATTACAGCAACATCAAGCCTGGACCTGGAACAACAATGACAACAGCAACCCTCAATAGGAACTGTATTTAACACTATTATTTTTGATCTGATTTTCACCTGGTTCAGGTGACTCCTGAAACATTTACTTGCTTGGGAAAATTAAAAAGGGCAGATAAAATGGAGAAGCGGACAGTCTATACCTGTGATAGCGAACCTGTGGCATGCAGGTTCTCTCTGTGGGCATGCAGGCCATTGCCAGCTGCTCTTCTGGTTTCCAGTGTGCACATGCGCGCCGGCCAGTTGGTCTTCGCGCATGCCAGAGCACTAGAAATCTGAAGCCCAGCTGGCCAGCATGCACAAGCACACCGAAAACCGGAAGATCAGCTGGCTGGCGCACGCATCAGCTGGTCTTCCAGTTTCCGGTGCTCCGGTGTGCATGAAGCCCAGCTGGCTGGTGTGCATGCGTGCGCCAGAAATCTGGAAGACCAGCTGGCCGGCGCATGTATGCGCACCAGCCAGCTGGTCTTTGGGTTTCTGGGCTCACATGTGCGCATTCTGCTTTCGGCACTTGGTGCCGAAAAGGTTCGCCATTACTGGTCTATACAGTCTACAGCCTGAGGTATTACAATCCAACCCAGATTGGCAAACCAGATTCATGAGCACCAACTGGCAGCCAAAAGAAATGTTAAAAATCACTTAAACCTAGACAGACTCAACCACAGTTTCAGCTGGGAAATTGCTAACATTTTAGATCAAGCCAAATCCAAAGATGCTAGAGCAGGGGTGTCAAACTCGATTTCATTGAGGGCTGCATCAGGATTGTGTTTGATCTCGGGGGGGGGCAGGGGGTATGTGGCCATGGTAGGCATGGCCAGATCGATGTCACTCGTGTCGGGGATGCCTATGGTGGCCCAAGCACTCTGCCAGAGAAAACGGGCTCCCAAACTCTGTTTCGGCTGCAACGGCCTCCTGCAACACTCTGCCAGCAAAAATGGAGCTCAAAACGGCCACACGTAGCCTCCCGAGCTCCATTTTCATTGGCAGAGACACTGCAGGCCAGTCCTTTGTTGTTTCCAGGGCGGCCCTGCCAGCCAGATCTAAGCACTTCACAGGCCGGATCCGGCCCCCAGGCCTTGAGTTTGGCACCCCCGTGCTAGAGAATTCCTGGAAGGTTGGCTTTTAGACAAATCAGCAATCAATATACCTATAGACATAAATCCCATTTATATATCATTTAAAAGATACAATCAGAAGCCTAAGAAAGAAACAAACATCTAAGAAATATCCCTTCCAGTGGCCAACACTCAGATAAGCATGAAACAACATCAGATAAACAATTATTGAAAAAACTGTACTGTATTCTAATCAAGGGACCATCTAGCAGAAAACCATTCTTGCACTAAGACTGACAGGGCAAAGTACCATATACAATATAAATAAACAGCAAATCTCACTGTTCCTCACAATGATGCTACCTAACCTGGTAAAAAAAAAAAAGCAAAGTATCCAAGCTCAGAGACCGCAAAGAACTTAACCCTGGGCTACATACATTTTCTTCTGTTGAAATCCAGATACAAGTTAGTCTCTTATTTTTGGTTTGTTAAATCTAGATTTGACCTGATTCTAGATTCCTTTTCATTGTGCAGATACAATTTCAGAGTTCCCATTACCAGCTTTTGAGTGGTCTGAATTAATATCCTTATTTTTGTTTATTTATTAAATGTATGTGCTGCCCATATCACCGTTAAGTGACTTTTCTTATGGAAGAGAGGAGGTAAGGGATGTGTATTTGATTACTGCATTTTATTAAACAGTCAGCTATGTACTCAATTTTCCATTATTAATGAATTATGAATAATTATTAATACAATATCATACTCTGTATCCTTTGAAAGTATCCTTAAAAAGATAAGGCAGTGGGAAATGATTAAAAAAAATATATCAACCCTTATCCCAACTTACTTTACTGATGGACATGTTCTAGCAAAATGCAACAGTTTGTGTCACATCCCTAAAGATGCGTTCACTTCTATGAAATAAATAATATGTGTCTCATGTATAGCAATCACATCTATTCATGTCTACTTTGCCTCATGCTCATGCTGCAAGAACCTAAGGCCAATTAATTTTTCACCACAGACAAACACACGTTGTACACTTCCAGACAGCTATATTAATCTACCAGCCAAATGCCTTGCCTTCGGGCGGTTTTCATGACACCATAGCCTTCCCATCTGTAATAAGATTTCTCTCCTACCACATTTCTCCTGATGAGAAAAAAAATTTTTTTAGCTTTAACCTCTTAACATTAGCAGTATTACTATTATATTCACAGCCACACTTTTGCAAGTGGAGGGGGTGGGGGTGTTTCCCATTGCAGGGAAATCTGCCCCTGCTAGTTTAGGTCTTGTCTTCTATTTAACCCCTACGTGGTCAAACTTGGGCATAGACAGCATCTTCAATCAACTCTTTGGCATTCAGGTATAGATTGTTAAAAATGGATCTTCTTTCAGCCTACTTCCCACTTGAGTAAAATGCCTCCACAATTACAGCTGTTCAGAAAGCTGTTTAAATGGAGTCATGCCCCTATTAGAAAGCCTATCCAGGCTTTTCTATCCAGGTGTGCTGCTATATCACCATGGCAAATGATACATTGCAGTTTTTGCAATCATTTTTCCCATTTCCCAACATCTACCACCCACAGCATCCTCTCAGAGAGCTGAATTTTAGAGGGGAGATAAAGACAAATTGCAGATCTTTTTGTGGTGGAGGTGGGGGTGGAGAGAGACACATTATTCTTCTTATGGAGAGAGGATAAGGGATTTTTATAAACTCGTGGTCCAAAGCTTAGAGCCTTAGAGAATAGAATATGCAGCTGTTGCCCAGTTTGAAAGCAAAAAAGGGAAAAAACTCTTCCAACTTTTATATTTCCAAAAATAAAATCATGCCCTTGATGATAATATCTTAGTATCAAAATAGATTTGAAAAACATACGTACAAGTTGGAAACATTTAAATGTATATTTTTAAGTTTTAGGAAGCTGAAAAACTGGCAATCTGGAAAAACTTATTGTATGTTTGCCACCTGTGATTGTGCACATTCCATATTCTTCTTTTGGCATTTTGTACATTATTTAAGGATTTGAAGCCTGTTAAATCACATTTGTTATTTCTTCTTCCTACATGAAAGTATCCATGCAATAAAAATAAAGACATGAAAGGTGGCAGCGAGGGGTTGTGGAGGAAACTGGCAGCCTCTTTTATTTTGCCAGTTTTAAGTACACCACTTATCAAGAAAGTGCAATTCTTCATTTAAAAAAAAAATAGCAGGGCTATAGAAAAGATCCAAAAGAGGCAATAGACTTATGCGGCTGCTTCGAAAGTTGTCTTTAGCAATCTGGTGTTGTGGATGTAGATGCCTTGCAAATTTT